GGGGGGGGCCGCCACGCGGGCAGGCCTGATTGCCCTGTCCCTGAGATAACATTGCCCTGGCAGCCTGGCAGCCAAGCCATCACCCTGACAATTAGCAGGGGCATTTATCAGAGACTCAATGTGCTCCTTTGCTCTAGCCTTTTCCAGCCAGGACACGTTTTTCTTGGAGCTCAATCCTCAACCTTGGCTCCAATTCCCGATCCCGACACCAGACAGGGGCCCATGCAGGGGACAAAGGCTGGGAGGGCATTCCCCCTCTGGCATCTGGGCCAGGGCCATGGATGCCAGAGACAGGGTGGCTGCCTTCCCCAGCTCCCACCCTGATGAGAGCCCACAGCCTCCACCCAGTGAGAAGCCACAGCCCCGGGTGGGGTTGGCTGGCCAGTGGCGGCTACACTCAGTTGGACCCTCTGTTCCCCTGGCCCTGTCCTGAGGTCCCGCCCGCCCGCCTGAGGGATATCCAGGCTTGACACCGGAACCCAGACTAGGACAACACCTGCTTGACAGGCAACACTGAGCTCTGAAGGAGTGGGGGACTGGGAGCCAGCACCCTTAGGTTCTTGACCCAGCCAGGCTCCTGATTCCTTGGTCCAACTCATTCTCCAGCAAAGAGGCCCAAATAGTCTCCATACCACTCCCTCTCTCCTCAGCGGAACTCCAGGACAGCTGGGAAGTCACGAGGCCGTTCAAAAACCAACAAACACAACAGAACAACAGCTAGCAAGCATTTAATACATGAGAGGCAGAACTACCAATGCTCTCCTATGTTAACTTGTTTCATCCTTTCAACAACCCCACACGACAGGTGCCCTTATTATCCCCAGTTGAAATACAGAGAGAGACAGAGAGGTCAAACAACTCACTCTGGATCACACAGCCGATTAGTAGCCCGGAGTTGAACCCAGGGAGTCTGAGTCCCAGAATGGACGTGAAGGGTTGCATCAATCAATTACCACCACCCTACCCCACCCCCACCCCTGCTTTCAGGGGGATAAGGCAACAGGTGGATGGCAAGCTCCGGACACCCACAAGCAGGGGCACTTGGGCACTCTTTTCTCAGCAAGGCCTGTGGAGGTGGGGCAGCCAGGACAAAGGAGGGGGCACCCCGTGAAAGGCCAGGCCAGGGACCCTAGCAGGAGCTGGCTGTAACTTGGGACTCCCTGACCACCAGGACCCAGCCTCAGGGGCACAGCTGCGCCTGCCAGGCACCTTCAGGACAGGAGCTCCCAAAGTGTACTCTGTAAGGTGTCAGAACCCAGCCCCCCCCCCTCTGGTGTCCCTTCTCCCACACATGGTGGGAGCAGCCCCAGGCCTTGTCTGATTATGCAATAGGCAAGGCAAGCACAGGCATCCTTGTGCTTGCTTACTACACTGTGTTGAACACTTTCCTGGTTTGCCACCACATCACAGAGTCTGCTTCTAGGTCTGGCTGGCAGCCCTCTTGTCCCTCTGCCCAGCCCATAGCACCTTCCTGCACCAGTCTCTTTTCAATGTGTAATCCCCTGCAGGGACAGATTCCCCAGGGTGCGAAGCAATCACCCAGGGAAGCAGGGGCTTACGTGTGCTTACTAACCCATCCACAGGAAACCGCGTCATGTGTTTTGTCACCTGAAGTCAATGGGTTGTGAACGACGCACAGCTGTGGAGTAAACACAAGAC